TTGAGGGCAGGGATTAATATCACTCCTTTTGTGGATCCTGGCACATAGCAAGTGCAAAATAATGTTTGGGTTTTTTTTAGGCAATTGGGGTTAAGTGACTTGCCCAGGGTCACACAGCTAGTAAGTGTCAAGTGTTTGGTCTGAGGCTGGATTTGAACTCAGGTTCTCTATCCACTGCACCACCTAGATGCCACAAAAATAAATGTTTGTTGATTGATTTGATAGCAGTCAAAATAGTTCAAGTAAGAGGTAAAATGTCCTGAATTATAGTTGTGACCAGATAGGTTTAGAGGAGGTGAAGGATATGAGAGGTAGAATGGACAAGACATAGCAAATGATGGAATGTGTGGTCAAGTAGAAATAGAGGAGGTTAATAAAAACTAAAGAAATGAGGATGGTTCTTGGATGTGAACTTGAGTGATGTGTTTTCCACAGAAATGGGCTTTTAGGAAGAAATGTGGGCTTTAGGGAAAATATAAGTTCTATTTTGGACATGACTTTGAGATATCTCTTGGACATCTACTTAGACATGCAGGACTAGATTTCAAGAGAGAGAGAACAGTTAGGTATTAGAGCACTGAGCACCATCTGGATAAAAATGATAATTTAACTCACTGCAGCTGACAAAATCACCATGTGATCTTATTCAAAAAGAAGGGAAGAAAGCCAAGGACAGAACCCACATATCAATTATTAAAATTAATTATTAATTGATTAAATAACAAATATTTGCTGTATTTTGCATTATGCTATATGGGCATTAATTTTTTTTCAAAATAACCACTTATTTTGAAGTTTCTATTATAAGTGATTATTCTGGAAGAACTGAGGTGTCCCAAGACCTACTTCTAAGTTGGTAACCACTTAGGCTTTTATAGAAAATCCAGATAACCCAGAAAGCTTGTTAATGTGTGGCAGAAATCTCAGTTTATCATCCTCGAGATTTTGTTTGCTTGTTTGTTTGTTTTTTTCCATAAGACAATGATTAACAAAGAGTGACTGCACTACCATACCCCAATAGTACCACAAGCCATAGGCCAGGTCCTGTAAAATTATGAATTTCTTTCAAGAAAGTCTTTTATGAGTATAAATGAAAGTCTTTTGAACTAATAAAGTATTTATTCTGTGGCTAGAAGTAGTCTTAGGCAAAAGTGTAAATGACTCTATGCTCTTTCGATGCTCCCCTGACATGACCTAGTGCCTTTTTTCTGTCCACTGGTAGCCTAAGATCTCCCTATCCTATATGAAAGATGAAGTCACTAAAACTTTTTGAGCATAGAAATGACATTAGAGCTGTGTATTCAGAAGATTATTTTTGCAGTTGTGTGAAAGGTGGATTAGAAAGGAAAGAAAATGGAGACATTTTCCTCCTTCCTCCTCTCCAGCTTGGATAACACTTTACGATCTCAAATGCTATCCAAAACAAACAAACAAAAAATAAAAACAAATAAAATATTTATTGTACATTATGTATCCATGAATGGTGTTAAGAGTTTTCCAGTTAAACTCTTCCTTGCCAAGTTATCTAGCCTTCCTCCCAAGTAACAAAATCACCTTAACACAGGTAAAATGCATGTCATCGTAAGAGGGCCTTAACAGAAAACTAGCAACATATAATGTTCAGGCAAGGATGTTTTTAGTTAGATTGCCTTTTAATGCCCCTTAAAATCAAACAAATTACTCAAGTTATGTGTAAGACAAGCCTGATCTAGAGCACCAGCCCTGAAGTCAGGAGGACCTGAGTTCAAATCCAGCCTCACTCACTAGCTGTGCAACCCTCGGCAAGTCACTTAACCCCAATTGCCTCAAAATAAAGCAAAAATAAAATGCAAGCCTTATCAATGAATTTTCTCTTATTCTTTTATATTGTAACTAACAATAGAAATCTAGGATGCCTGCCAAAGTGGAGAAAACATAGTAACCCAATGACTCAGATTTTATGTTATTGTAATTAAGAACGGTGATGATATATATTAACACAAACCCTGGAATTAGTGACTGGAAACCAGAAGAGCTGACTTTGACATTAGCTCTGAACATTTGGGTCACCTTCAGAAAACTACTTAACCTCTTTAGGCTTTAGACTGAAAACATCGAAATCGTCTTTTGCCCTTTCCTCTTTCTGTCAAGTCTTGTTAATTCTATCCTACAATGTGCCTCAGTACCTTCACTTTCCCTCATCACCACCATTCCAAACCAATACCACCTCTCATGTGAGCTGATGTAACAGGTTTTTAATCAGTCACACTATCTCCATTTTCTTTCCTTTCTAATCCATCTTTCACACAACTGCAAAAATAATCTTCTGAATACACAGCTGTAACATCATTTCTCTGCTCAAAAAGTTTTAGTGACTTCATCTTTCCTATAGGATAAAATACAAACTCCTTCAACATGCTTTTGAAGCCCTATATAATCTTTTCCCAAGATACCTTTCTACCTTTATTTCAAACTCCTGACTGTTACACGCTACATCCCATCCAAACTGTCTGTTGCCTAGAACTATTCCATACCTTCTTGTCATTGAGCCTCTAGGCAGGTCAATCTCCATACCTTATAACCATTTTGCTTATACCTCCATCTATTGAAATCCTTGTCTTCCTTCAAGGTCTAGCTCATGTTTTAGGTTAGTAAACTTAGTACCTAGCACAGTGTTTCCAGGTAGCAGACCCTTAACATGCTTCTTGAATTGCAATGAATTTGTTCCCTCATCTGCAAAATATGTAAGTTAAACCCAATTGTCTCCAAGGTCTCTTTCAACTCTAAAATGTTTTCATTCTACCATTGCCATTCATTCAATAATTACTTGTTGAATGCCTTGAACTAGATGATTTTGAAGGTAGTGTTATGCCCCTGAGGGATGGCTTAGAGTAGTGGTTAGAGGGATGACCTTGGAATTAGAAAGACAGGTTCAAGTACTACCTCTGATACAACTAACAGTGTAACTATGAGGAAGTTAACCAAACATCTCAGTGCTTCTAAGAAAGTCTCTTTGACTATTACAGAAAAGTTGCTGATCTGCATCAATGGAGGAACTTTCCATACCCTAATAAAATCCTAGATTTGTACCCCCCAACCTGCCTTTTCCTCCAGGAGGAAAAAAAAAAGATTTATCCATCATGGTTTAAGTCACTGTTGGATATTATCATTGTGGTTCACGTTATATATGATAATTGACCAGCACAAAAAAAATAAACATTTATTAAGCACCTACTGTTTCAGTGTTTCATATATAAATGTTGAACAGTTATAAAAATGGCCATAGGGAATGCTCACTGTTAAAAAAAAATCTCTCTAATCCTTATACTTTTTGTTGCACATTGTCTTTATTTTCAGAGATACCCACTGATAGTGAAAAGCAACAAGTATTTTCTACCCAGCAGAAACTTCTGCACTAAGGTCCCACCAAAGAGAAAAAAATCAATTCAGTAAAATCAACCAACACCTCAACTTTAACTGACAATATAAGCCTCCACCATTGCAAAGAAGGAAAGAAGGTGCATTTTCTCCCTTTTTAGAGTTGGGTGTGATAATTACACAAGGATCCTTTTGGCATGACTCATGGGGGGTATTTACTTGAAACCTTGGGAGTGGGGAGCTACTTATTGGGAATGCTGGAGAAACCATTTGACCAGCAGATAACTCCCTCCCTGCCCCACACGTATTTTCTAATAAATGTCCGCTGTGAATGGGGCCAAAAATTACAATTGTACAATTTTCATTTTTGTTTGTTTATTTGCTCTTTCTATTTGCATTGTTGTCGTCATTAATGCATCTAAGTTTAATTTGACAATTTAAAATGGAATCACAGTTATAGAAGAATTGTAGAATTTTAACATTATTTTTTTAATTAAATGTTTGACAACACTAATAAGAGAAAGAACATCAGGGAAGTCTAGCAAAAATCTGAAACATTTCCAAATGTATTTTGATATATGAAGACAATGAAAGAATAGTATGAAAATTAGAATGAGAATTTTACCATAAAAATGAAACAACTCAGGGCCTTCCCAACATAATCCCCTACGAAGAACTTCAAAAGAGCTTTCAGAATAATAAACAGGGATTCTGATCTCAAACCTTTGTAATTGCCTCAGAATAAATCACAAGAGAACACAAAAGTCAGGGCTGCAGAGAGATGCAAAGAGGCAGAAGAGAGACCACCTTTTGGCTCTCCTCTTGACCTTTTCTTAGTCAGGAAGGGAACTAATTGCTGCCCATCAAAAGATTGGGTAATTACTGCAATTTAAGAGATTTACCAATCTCCAGGAAATGAAAAGACAGAAAAGAAATTATGTTAAAAGCAGCTTTGGTCTCCCCTTTGATGTTCAGCAAAACTCAATTTGCCTCTATAGCCCAGAATTCTTGATTTTATTGAAAGTGAGGTCTTATAATAGACACAACATTCTATTTCAGTGAGGAAACTCCACCTTTTTCTCTCTGATCCATTTTTGTGCTTGACAAGGAGTCCTTCCTTTGAGAGATAAACTCATGGAAACTTTGTCTGATATAGCATGAAGTAAAACAGGGCATCACTGAGCACGTAGGCAGGTTTGTGTGAGCTGCAAAAACATGAAGAAATTGTGAGAAATTTGTGAACTTACTTGTAAACTCTTTCCTGAAAGACCTCACTGGGCATGCTCAAGGGTTTCTACCAATTCAAAGTCTATCACAATCGTCTGGGTGAAAGATGAGAAAAAGCTAAATTCAGATAATGGCTCTGTGAGCATAGAAAGGAGCTATATCTGAGAAATGTCATAGAGGATAGAATTACAAAATCTGGCAATTGATCAGCTATATGGTAAAAGTGAAAAGTCAAGCATAACTCCAGATTTGTATGTGACTGGAAGGACTATGATGCCCTTGTTAGCAAAGAAACACTTATTAGAGAGATAGATATTGGATAGAAAGAACATGAGTCATAGTAGCACATGTAGAGTTTAAACTGCCGATAGAATAACAAGCTCAAAATATCTAATAGTCAGCTGGTGATATGGGACAAGGGCTCATGAGAGAGAATATGGGTGTATAAGTAGATCTGGAAATCATCTACTTAGAGGTGATAATTGAAACCATGGGAACTCAGGAAATCAGTAAGGAAGAGCATAGAGAGAGAAAAAAGAGTAGAGGGACTCAGGTAGAGCCTTGCTTTTGCTGTTTGTGAGTACCACATAGATGAAGATCCTGCAAAAGAGACTTAGAAGGAACAGTTAGATATAAAGGATGAGAACCAAGAGGGAAGAGAGTAGAAAAAGACCTAGTCAGAAAAGCATATCAAAGAGGAGAATGTAGTCAACAATTTCAAATACTGCAAACAGGTAAAAAAAAATGAGGATTGGAAAAACCTGGGGTTGGGGGGTTTCTGTTTCATTAACTGTACATACAACTAAGGAAAAGGGGTGGATATGCCTTCTAACTCTAACATTCTAAGTTCATTAAAACCCAGTTTGAATGCAAAATCATTGTTCTAACTAAATTGACACCTTCAATTTTTTTTATAGAAATTCCTTACCACACAATTTCCTTTACAGAGTAACATTAGAATATTACATTGCAGAGGTGAGGTGAAATATGGACAAAGGAAAAGAAAAAGGGAAGAAAATCAGAAAACTATTTAAGGTTTGTATACTTAATTTTTCCTTTGAAAACAATCTTCACTGATGTTTATTTCACTAAAATAACTAGAACCACACTACTAGTGGAAATAAATTCTATAGGGATAGGGTGGAAGGAAAGAAGGGACAACAAGAGGCCATTTAAATTGTCTAACTCATTGTTCTCTATGTAATTAAATGAAGGTTAGTCAAAACCCTAGATATCTTTATTTCTATAGTGATATATTTATCATAGGTTTCCTAATTAACTAAAGTCTCCGATGTAGAGAACACAAGAATTATGCACATACCCCTGCCAGAAAGATTCAGATGTGAGAAAATCTAGCATCATTTCATTCTGTTCCTTATTGCATTTATTCTCACCCAGACACCTGCTCTCTTGTGACCACTAACTAGAATTTGAGATTCAGTTTCTAAAAATCACACCTGATTTTTAAGGCATTTGTTGCTGAGTTATTCATTAACTCTTTGAATAAGGAGATGTATTCTGCTTTTAAAAATAATCACAGATCCACTAAATAGCAACAGTCTTTTCTAAGATAAAATAGAGCAAATATTGTGGCTAATGAATTATCAGAAATTCTATGCATATACCTTATCAAAAACCAATTAGAGGCTTTAGAATCGTCTAATAATGAAAATATTCAGGTTAGAGTAGTAAACTCCTTTTGGTTTCTACTCTAAGAAGAAAAAGAAAAAAATCTTTAGATGTGGATACATTTTGCTATTGTGTTGGTCAGATTGAAATTTTCAAATTTTAAACAGTTTAAATATAAAGTTTTACAAAAATGTACCTCAGTTGCTATACTTTCATTATAAGGTGGTTGGACACATTTGGTTATGTGAGTAAATTCAAAACAGTAAATTTTCTGTAAAACAGATCAGTTTTGCTTGGCATCATTGTTGTTTATGGCAGCTAGATGGTATAGTGGATAGAACACTTCCTGGAGTCAGAAAGACTCATCTTCCTGAGTTCAAATGTGACCCCAGATACTTACTAATGTGACCCTGGGCAAGTCACTTAACCATGTTTGCTTCAGTTCCTTCATCTGTAAAATGAACTGGAGAATGAAATGGTGAATCACTACAGGATCTTTGCTAAGAAAACCCCAAATAGGGTCATGGAGAGTCAGATATGAGTGAAAAATGACTGAACAACAATGATATTGTTGTTTATGAATATGGAATATGTTAAAACAGACTCTTTATCTCATTTTCATTCATAGGATCATAAGTGTGTAGATTTAGAGTGGGGCGGGACCTCAAAGGCCTGATAGTCCAACCCTCTCCCCAAACAGATGAGGAAACTAAGACTTAGGAAGGTTGGGTTGTCCAGGGTCACTCAGGTATTAAGCATTAGTGGTGGGATTTGAACCCAAATCTTCTTGCCAGTGACCTTTCCACTGAGTTCTTAAAGTATGAATAGATAAAATATATTTATTAAGCATTTAACTATGAGCCAAACACTGTGCTAAGAAGTAGAGACACAACCATAACAATGAGACAGTCCCTGTGCTCAAGGAACTTTTGATGAATAAACATTTGTATAGCACCTACTATAAACCAAGCACTATCCTAAGTGTTTTACAAATATCTCATTGGAAACACTACATAGAGGGAATTGCTGGTCAAGGAAGGGAGTCTTGTTCTGGGAAATCATAGATATGGTGAATAAAGACATAGGACAATTGATAGGTGTGCCCTTTTTAGAAGCAACTATATTGATTAATTATTGTTCTCAGAGCAAGATATGGACATTTCTGTGGGGAATTGGGGATGAGCTTGTGCTCAGTAGCAGGGCAAATGGCTAGATAAGTTGTGAAACATATGGTTGGATTCAGATATAAAGCACAGTCACGTCAAAGAGAGACTTGATAACATGGGTTATATTGCACTCACTTAGCTTGACCCCAAGGTGAAAATTCAGCAACTGAGAAAATTAACTCCTTCCAGGAAATGGTCTCTGGAAGTCCAGGTACAAAGGGTACAAATGTAAGGCAGAAAATAGTCAGAAGATGGCCAGAGCGATATGTAGTCAGGTGGCACAATGTGGAGTACTGGGCCTGGAGTTAGAAAGAGCTGAGTTCAAATCTATCTCCAGACACTTACTAGCTGAGTGACCCTGGTCAAGTCACTTAATCTCTGCCTCAGTTGCCTCAAATATAAAATGACAATAGCACCACCTCAAAGAGTTATCGTGAAAATTAACTGAAATAATATTTGTAAAGTGCTTAGCATGGTGCCTGGCACATAGTAGGTACTATATTAATGCTTATTTTCTTCCTTCCTTCCCTCCCTCTTGCTGAATCAATTATTATTCTATTCTAAATTCATAATTAGTTGCAAACTACCCTGTTGAGAATAATTTTGTAATTTGGAGCACTCTAAGTGATGTAGTTCTGGGAAGCCCAGTGATGTAGTATCTGCAGCTTTACCCATGGACCTAGTATCTTCTCAGCTTCATTGGAGAATTTCAAGATGAAAACATATGTTCTTAAACAGGACAGTTTACCAGAAAATATGACAATGCTACTGAAGTCAGAGCCAAATAAGGATAAACATCTAATAAGGAAATAGACATTGGCAGAGGCAACTTGCAAGTGAATATTCTAAGTTCTATATTAAGATCATAATATTTAAAGCCAGGAGAGTTTTAGAGTTCATCTGGTCCAACTCTGTCATTTTATACATTTTCCACATAGGCCTATGGCTAAAACCAGCTAGCTGTCTAACCCTAAATCACATCCATAAATGAAGGGCTATTAAGATATTCAGAATTTATATTCTTCTCCAGACCAGCCTTATCAAGAGATATTGTAAATATGAAATAATGTAAGAATAAGAAAGGGAAGAACTTGATTTTTAAAAAAAGTACCTGGTGTCAAAAGTTAGATGAAACAGCTTAGTCTAAATGGCTAACTCTAGTTCAGTCCCTCTCAGGGCAGTGAGAGATTTTCAGTATTTGAAAGTCACACTCCCTGATTGTCACTGTTTATTGTCAAATTTGAACTGGACCTGTGACTTCTGTGAGCTGACTTACCAAAAAATTAATTTTCACATTCACTGGAGAGTAGATTTTTCTGGCATTCAAATATGCCCATTTATTTAAAACAAAAAGAAACAATAAATAGTCCCTTGTGGTCCATTCCTCTTTGTGGAGTCCCTAGGTATCTACCTACTTTGCCTACCCTTAATCTTGGCTTTCATAGCTCTTCTCTATTCCGAGTGACAGTGTGAGGAATGTAGACACTGTTTAATATACTTCTCTTGTTTCAAGGTATGACTGTTGGGACATGATCATTTCATGTGATTCTGTTTTCCTCACGTTGTTTTGACAGGTTTTTGGCTGATGTTTAGGGAGTGCAAAATACCTCTCATTTACACAGCACTTTTCATCTGATGAACTCAGGACCTGGCTCAAACAGTACATCAATACCCCTGGGTCATATCTATAATCTGCTCCTAGAGGCTCAGAGCAAAACCAAAAGTAAACTGCAAGCCTTTCCATGAATAATACCCTAGATGATTCCCTAATGTCCCTATATTCAGTGTCCCACCTCCTGTGGGACCACACTGCTCAGGATCATGAGTCATTTTGATGCTAATCAGAATTAACTAAGTCAGATAAGTAGGCAGTATAGTATATCCCTTTATTCCTTCTATTATTGACAGTATAACTTCTATGAATCCCTGTTGAGCAAATGTTCGGGGATCTTGTTACTTAAAGAACAAATAAACCTTTTAGAGCACTAGGGAACCAGTGCTCTGACACTAAGTATTGGCCCCCATCTTCACCCCCTCACCAGGATGTTAGAAAAATACGCACAAAGCTACAAAAAACTAAGTGTCTTACTTTAAGGAAATACAGACATCTCTCAGTAGAGCTAAGCTCTATCCCCACTAGCTCTAAAGCTTCTTCCCAGAATGAAAGGAACCAGTGGAATGACTAGGAATAAAGGTCCGCGAAATAAGAGGCTGCTCTACTGGCCAGACATTCTCTGAAGAGACAGTAGAATTGAACCGTTTGTTCACCTTTTCCATCCCCTTCAAGATTCTGTTCAATGTATATTATTCTCTTCAATGACCTTATCTCTTTTCTAATATGACAATCCTTATTTAATTCTATATTAAGGAAAGAGGGAGCATAGTATAGAGGATAGAGAACAGGTCTCAGAATGAGTCGAGAAGAGTTCAGTTTCACCACCTCCTCTGACACATGGGAATTTATGACATTGGGAAAGTCACTTAACCCTCAGTGCTCCAGCCTAATGGTGTCAAACTCAAAGAGAAAGAAAGACTATTAAACTTTATATAAGTATTACCGAGGAAGCACGTTGACTTAGAAACCACATATTAACATTGTCTATGTTCTTTCGCATTTTTATTTAAATAACTCCAGAGTATGTTTGACACCTGTGCTCTAGGCAATTTTGTAAGCCTGTAAGCCATAAGGAAGCTAATGACCTGAATTGGTGGAGGAAATTCTTCACTGGGAACTCTATATTCAATTAAAACATAGTTTTGGTCCAAAAAATATTCATAAGACAACTCCCTTTCTCCCTGTTATTTATTTGAAATTTCTTTCCCTGGCCCTTTTCTGGCTTTGTTGTGTCTCCCTTCATGTGAAGTGACCAGAATGGCAGACAGGACTTCAAATATACTTATGTCATACTTTGATGCCGGGAAAGTGGCATGCCCAAACCAAACTCCTTTATTTTATTTTAAGTAGTCAGCATTTTTTTTTCTTCTTCCTCCCTCTTCCCAAAGAAAAAGAAAAACTCTTGTAACAAATGACATACTCAAGCAGAACAAAATTCCCATGTTGTCCATGTCCAAAAATGTGTGGTTCACTCGGCATATTTAGTCCATCACTAAAACGGACTAAGATGGAAAGCATTCTTCATTATTGTTCCTTTGAACCATAGATGGTCATTGTGTTTATTAGAGTATTTAAGTTTTTCAAAGTTATTTGTCTTTACAATGTTGTTCTTTTTGTATAAATTGTTTTTTCTTGCTATGTGCACTTCACTCTTCATCAGTTCATACAAGTCTTCTTAGTTTCTCTGAAACAATCCCCTTTATTTCTTACAGACATGGGTAATAAGAGTTAAAGCATGTTCCTTGTGAGTAAGGATTGCTTGTATTTATTATATTTGTATTCCCAGTGACTAGCACCATGACTGTCTTTTAGTGGGTGCTTAACAAATGATTTTTAGTTGATATTTTGAGCATAATTGGGCTTGAAATTGACCAGTGCTATAATTAATGTAACTCATGGTAGAATGGAAAGCACATGGCAGACAAAGTCAAGGCCTATAGGTACATGTTCCCATGCTGCCATTTACTACCTATGCATACTTCTCTGACAGATGAGACTAATAATGACTGAAGACATGGGGTTTTCACATATCACCTATAGAGGTTCCTTCTAGCTCTGTACTCTATGATTTACTTGATTGATGATGGTAGTGGTTAAATTCCTAAGCAGGAGACAGAACTGGGAAGGCAAAAGGGAGCCATTTACTCCAGGTTCATGATAGACATAGATGAAGAATGTTCTTTAAAGTGACTCATTAATCTTCCACTATGTGACAGAATGGGTGGGGCTACTAGACATTGCTCCAAAGAGGCAGCTCATACAAAGGCTTCCATTTTGCTTTTCCTTTGGACTTTTTCTTCCCCAGTATGCAAAATGCTATTTCCCAACTGAATCTAGTAAGAATGGTTGAGAATTTTTGTGTTTTGGTCTCATCTGATGAAGACATAGATCTCATTGCATAAAAGGCAGAAGCCCAAAAATCTACACATTCTTTGTAGGAAGAATAAAAATCAATCAGTGGTCACAGTATATAGGTGTAACACCATATTAAACAGTGATTATTTTCCAGTAATTCACTTTAGTTATGCAAAAAGAAACTCAGCCACCTATAAACATTTAAGTGAATTATGTTTCTCTTTCCACTTTGACTCAGAACTATTTTCTAATTAGAACATTCTCTAATTCTTAGTTCTGGTATTTATAGTTTGTCTTCATAACAACCAGAGATATTTGGGAAGTGAAATAAGCCAGTGATTTGGTGATCATTAAGATGACAAAAATGTTTTCACCGAAAACAGAAGACAAGATGTCAAAGAAGTTAATATTCACCTCTAACCTCTGATCTAGATCTCTATGCTTCTGGGTGAATGAAATTACCAAGTGTCATTGGAACAAATCACACCAGTGATGCATTTGTGAAAGATTTGATAGCTGGAAAAATGTGGTCTTACATCCATAAGCACTGAGCCAAACCTGGACTGTTCTTCTAGATTCCTTCAGTATTTAAGAAGAAGGGACCATGGACTGCAGCATTTTGCCATATTTACATAGAGTGACTCATAAACATTGTCTTGGCCTCAGAATTTTTGCTTCTATCTTGGAGATATAGTTCTCATTCTCCTACCATCAAATATTGTTAAAATAAAGAATTGAAACAGCCTAATTATGACTTCGTCCTTACCTTTGTAGCATGTTCCCTAGCAAAGTACTTTTCACACAGTGAGTGCTTAGAATATACTTATTGACTGACTATTCACAGATTTTAGCAGGAAGAGACTTTTGAGTTCATTTAGTCAAAGCCCAGGAGAGTAAAATGACTTACCTAAGGTCATATGGATAGTGTCAGAGGCAAGATTCAAACCCAGATCCTTTAACTTCAAACCCCATATATCCAATGCATTATGCTGTCTCTCCTCTTCTGCATAAAAAAAACCTTATAATTACTTCTGCTGTATGCTAATATGTTTGCTAAAGACTTGAATGAACCTGCCAAAGAACCAAAGCACTGAAGAAAACACAGCCCATCATGTTTCTATCACAATCGTCCAATCTTCAAGGTTTGGAGCATTGTGCAAATCTACAAATATACAGCACATTTGTCTATCCAAATAATTTTTTAAAAAAACCCTTAACCTAGTAGCAATTAGCATTATTTGGTGTAAAGAACATGGCTTGGGAAATGGTGGCTCTGTATTCAAATTTTAGCTATGCTAATTTCCAGAAGCATGATTATAGAATTCAGTTCACCATCCACAAAATAAAGGAGATTGGTTTAGGTGATCTATACAGTTTCAGGTACAACTCTATAATTCTATAATTATTCCTCTGCTAATTTGTTCTTATTTGTGTTTTCTTTAAATTTATGATTATATTTCTCATAATGGAAAATGGCCAGTATACTCTTTGATCTAGACCACTTTTGCCACTACAGTATTTTCCACCAATGAAATGTTCAACATCATTCAAGTCCTAAAGCCTGAATCTTCCTGAAACATAGCTGCAGGAACAATATTGAATGTTCTAAGGTAATTTGATAACAAATTACTATCTGCATCATGCCATCACAGCCAGTTAAAAAGCAAAATGAAAATGAAAAGACCGTGATTATTTTATCTATAAAACACTAGGTAATTGGTTTTACCCTTTTACTTGGGTGGCAAGTTGTTTTGGTATGATATACATGCCTGTGTCTCACCATTAAAAAAAAATTAGTTCCATTCAGCAAATATTTATTGAATCATAGATTTAAACCTGGAAAGAATCTTAGCTGTCATGTAATCCACTCCCTTATCTTTCAGACAAGGAAACAAAAGCTCACAAAGTTAAAATGATTTGCCCAGGTTGACTTAGTGAAGTGAAATTTGAAGCCAGATTCCCTGGCCCTACATCCAGCACTCTTTTTACAATAACATGTTTTTGCCTCTTCATGTTTAGTACCACTTTTGAGTCTGAATTGTTCAATCTATGTACACAGGTCACATAAATAGGAAAACTACTATTAAATTTTGGCTTTATTTTGTGGAAGAGTCAGGCCATGTCAACATGTAAATAAATGAGGTGAAAGATCAAGACATGATGTTTCTGGTTCACTGTAGTTTGTCTCCATGATCAATACAGCTCACTCAACAATACACAATTAAAAAATCTCAGTAAGTCACAAAGGGAAGGTTCAGTGAATTCGAAGTTCTGTATTTTTTTCTGTGTTAGCTGATTCTCCTTGTTTTCTTCCTCAGCATAAGCTAGAGAGATCCTTCTTGGTCAGTTTATACTACAGATGCTAGATGTTCATATATGGAGAAAAATATTCAAATATTTCTCTAGGTAACTAAAATGTGTATATAACTAGATTGTGGTCAGTTTCCATTCATCTGAACACATACAATTTATTCTGTGAATTTAAATGGACTGGAGAAACAGTCTATTTTTTGCTATGTAGAAATAAGTGTCATGGAGCCATTCATATTTAGCCACGCTACAATTTAGCTATGGCTAATTTAGCTATTGATTTTGGGGTGATCTAGACCCTATATATCTAGACATATCATTTCATTGGTATAGGAACTTACCCTGTGGAAACTCAATCCTCTATAGATAATAATGGCTTCTCTGTAATTTATAGTCTTAGAATTTTCATGACAATGAGAGGTTAAGGAAAAACTTGAACCCAGAACTCCTATACTCCTAGACATCCTCTGCACTACACCATGTTGTCACATTATCATTGAGTATGCTAATTGAAATGCTCACTTCTAGTTATAACCTGTCTTGAAATTTATTGCTTAACTGAGTAACAACTTTTCCATTTGTCCATAATATCTGTATGATCGCTTGTATTATCTTTGAATACACTATTCTAAGGAAAAGGCAGAGACCTTCATATTTAGAAATGCCTAATGTAACACAAATAAGTTTATAATATTTCCACTTTCAAAAGAGAAATTTACTCTTATTGTCTGAAGACAGAATTACGTCTGAAGACAGAATTACGACTGAAGACAGAAAAGTCATTGGCCTTTCAAAACCATGATTTGGTAAGGATGTATAAAATGTCATCCTGGTCTCAAGGACCATAACTCAATTTCTGACAATGGCACCAAGGAGACATCTTATGAGAGAGCATATTAATTGCTTACTGTTACAATGACCCCAAAAGAAATCCAAATCCTTCTTACTAAATAATTATGGATCTGTCATTTATTTATGTATTTAACCTTTTTCAATAAGAACTTATTTCAGGTTGTATGTATGCGTGTGTATGTGCATGTGAATAGCTTAACATCTACTTACCTATCTTCCATTTGTTACATTTTGTTCATGAGAATAAAAAAAAATAATGCAGGAATTTGACTATGCATATTTTTTTACAAAAGACTCCCTCCTCCCACACCCCCTACCTTGCTGGTTTGGTATATGGGTAAGAAAGAAAATAAATGTTTGTTAATTTTAAAAATAATTTTAAAAAAACTCCATGTGGTTTTTTCTGGCCTTTTTTTCCCAGTATTGACCTAAAAATAATTGGCAACTGACAATTGTTCATCCAGGAATTATTTGTGTCAGGTTTCTTATCCTGATTTATTTTTCTTTCGAGGAAGAAAATCTACCCTATAACTATTTTGTGCTAGATATTGCCACCTATTGGTTACTTTCTTTTCTTTACACTATGAAAGCATCAATCTCTTCTATCTGTAAGATACATAATTTTTGAAATTCTTTAAGATTGGGACTTATGTAGGGACATTTAGCAAGTAATATGCTCTTTTGGAAAGCTTCTTAAGGACTCTTTTTTAGCATATTCACCTAGTTCAATGAAAGTACTTTGAAGAAATAAAATCATTTTATAAGGTTGATCAGATTATCACTTACATTTAGCATTAGAATGATACACACGCAATTCTTATGCTTATTTTCTACATGTATACCTTCCAAGTAGAGAAAATTATGTAATGATTTTTTTTTCTGATCTAAAGCATTATAAACAAAAATAATGGACTTTGGAGTCAAACTATTGCTTGGGGTCAGCATTCAACACAATTTAAGCTCCAAGAAGCAAAGGACTATTTTATTTTTGTCTTTAAATTATCAACACCCTAGCATAGTGTCTGTAACAGTAAGTGCTTAATAGATGCTTATTGAATGAATGAATGGAATTGATCATCTTCCAGTAAGAAAGAAGGTAAATTCTGTGATACTTATAATTAAGAGAGGAGTCAATTTACAACTTATTTAAGGAGATTTGGAAGGAAAAATAGAAAAGTGAACCAAAAGACATCATTCATAAATATCATCCCATTATTATTCATGTTGTTACAGTAACAGTTTTTCTATGTCTTTTATTCAAGAGAAGTCTACAGATTGCTACAATGATAGACCACTAGGTTTGGAATCATAGTCAAGACTTGGCTTCAAATGCTGGCTCTTCCATTTGCTACTACCTATGTGACCATGAACACAGCACTTAACTGGTCTGGAGTTCATTTTCCTCACCCATACCATGAGGGTTTGGGGGTAAATGATATGGCCTCTGATGTTCCTTCCAGTTCTGAATCTATGACCTCAATATCAAATTTCAGTGGTCAGGAGGCTTCATAGTATTCTAACTTTTCTTCCATTGTTTAGTTCAACAGCTTACATCTGTCTTTGGGATAGAGGAAATAAAATTTGCACCTGAAACTATGTTACAAGGAACTTCTGGGGATTGGTCAACCCTGTGCTGAGCCAGCTATTTTTTCCTAATCATTGTTCTAGTGGCCACTTTTGTTAATTGGGGAGTGGGGAGACAGCATTAAGGATAGATAGGGTGGAAAGAGAAGGTTCTGATGAAAAGATTCCCCCTGACCTCTTCAAGACCCATAGAAACAGGATCTCTTAAGTATTTCACCTAGTATTTCAGTTTAATAAAAGGAGGTGGTGAGTAATTTTTAAGATCTAAAAAAAAGTATTAAGTATGTATATGAATATTTACATGGATATGGAAGGCAAAGTGGCATAGTAAATAGAGGACTGACCTTGGAGTCAGGAAGACCCAGATTCAAGTCTTGCCTTTATCACAAACTAGCTATATCACCACTCACATCATCTGACCACGTATTATAATCTAAGACTATATTACTGAGGATTTGCCATTGTGTGTTGAAGAAAAAAGTTTCTACACTAAGAGTCCACAAGTTCTAAATTGTCACAGGTCCATGTCCATCTCATACTATCCTCTAGGGAAAAATGTGTCTTCTAATGCAAATATGTTAAATGTTGTAACAATAATAAACTAGCAATTCAAACAGACAGATCATTTTGAAAAAGAAAACTTGTCAGGATTTTATTGGTGAAAATAAACAGAAATGACAGATTTTGGTGTCCTAGCCTGATAATATTATGAGTAAGAAGATTACGGCTCATGATACACTCTATTGAAATATCTTGTAGTTGACAGTCTTCCTTTACGAAATGTGCACAAATATATTTATTTTTACAAGTAGAATTAGACATAGGCATAGCTTTTTGAGTAAAGGCTGGGGAAGATTGCTAGAAAAATAGCATTATTATTGAACATGATGCCTTCTGTTTTTGTCTGTGGTGACATTTCTGAGCTCCACTGAAAATGAGAAATGTAAATAGATATTCGTTTCACATACTAAATGGTTCAGCATCTGACAAGTTCTTGAAATG